TCTTCCTGAACTTCTCTGGAAATCAAACAGGAAATGGGTCACTTGGTACATGTGTATAAGCTCACCTTTGCTCTAATTCCATGGCACCTCTCCATTATAGACAATTCCTTCTGTTACAGTCATTGTGTTATTTTGATATTCCACATTGATATAAGATGTTGTTTTCCCTGATTTTCCATATTAAAAAAAAAAAGTCACAAAATGACTTGGGCAGAGCAACTGACAACAAACATGCTCCATTTTTAGAGTGGAGGTCAAGGAATCAATATGGCAAAGCTAAGTATGACAAATACTTAGTGCCTCCACAGAAGGTAGGAAAAAAAAAAAGGGTCTATTATTATATCTCTTAGTTGGATTATGCTCAGGCTGAGGGCTGAGTTGGATTATGCTCAGACTGAGGGCTGAATTTTAAACTAGGCTGATGAAAATCCAGAATAGTTCTGCAATGTACGGTGTGATATGGTTATCTGGTAAGAAGTTGTAGGTAGGTTGGTGATGTTGGCAGAGGCCATGGGAGCTTGAATATGAACACAGGAAAAAAATAATACTGAATGGGTGACATCAGCTTACTTTGGACCAGATACAGGCTAAAGGTATAAGGCAGCAAATGCTTCCAAAAATCATGAAATCAATCAGAAGGGGCAGGAGCAGAAAGGGGAAGAAAGGCTTTTCCACCAGATAGTTTATATTTACTTGAGCATGTGGTTCTTTATTGCTGTTGGCCCTGACTGAAAGTCTAAAGCATAACATTAAGAGAGAACCTGTGATTTATCATAAAATGAAATAAATTTTTGTTCTGTTTCTAGCGGAAGAAATGTGAGCATCTGTGTTTTCAGCAGCCTTCTGTCTTGTTTCCTCATCTTTCCCTCTGAACAAAGTACTGACTGACACACTGGGAATATGATGTTTTTCCTGTCTAGGAATCTTTCCCCCGCTGACTGCTGTGGATTCAGAGTATCTGTGAATAGGACCCCCAGAGGCTTAGTCTTGCTAGGGCTAGGTGAAATGGTTTTGAAATTTAAATGCTTAAATAATGTTGGGAAAGTGTACTTATCTCTGTGGCTATTGTTCAAGCAAACCCTTGTCCAGTTGACATACTCTTTCCTTTCTGTTTATGTTCAAAAGGGATGAAAAGATCGTTAAAGATTCCATGAACTAACTCATAAAGATTCAAAACTGAGCATACAGCATTTAATTTTCCTCCAGATGTTTCTGTGCAAATCAGATGTCTGATTTGCAGTCTGTCACTGATCATCTAGTTTATTAGGATATGCACTTTCACAGCCTTATTTTAAAGTTCATTCTCTTGAACTGTCCTCCAAAAAGACAGATGCCAGAAGTCTTTCCTAAAGCTCTAGCGAACATGTACAAGAAGTGGAGGAATCGCTGGACCAGTTCTTCTGTATCTTCTGAAGGTCAAACTGCCTTCTAGGTACGCTTTGAAGGTACTTTGCAAAATGTAGAGCATGGTCTTTCTAATTTCGGGTGTATTTTGGATGAATATCTGTTTCTTTTGCACAGCATTTGGACGAGGCAGGTACATTATTTTTGCTCTTGCTTAAAACAACAGCTCAGGCAGCAGAATTTAGGAGGTACTTGATCTTAGTCCTTTAATCCTCCTTGAACACTACTGCACTGCTGCTTTATGCACAGGAGCTTCTGTGGACTTGTGTGGGTGTGGAAAGTACAGATAGTCACCCTGGCAAGGAAAGTATTCTGAATTGTAACTATTGCAGAGCATTAAACAATTGCCTTTGGTAAGAAATGCCAGCAAGTAATACTTAGCATATTAGTTTTGTTGTTGAAAATGGATTGTCTATGCATATATCTGAAAATCCCAATTAAATTCAATCTTGATGCTCGCAGCAGATAAGTATAACAAAGATTCTAAGTAATTTGCTTTCATACATATGAATAAAATAATTATTATGCAGCATATCTAAGTAGTTAGACACCATCAGAAAGTCTACCCTTGAATAACAGAAAGGGAAGAAAGTGTCCTTTCTTTTGTAGTCAGAAACAAAGTATTGACTATATATGGCACATTTTGGATTTTACTAGCTGTAAGATATTTTTCTTTATAAACATGACAGCTCTACTAAGCATGGTAGAAAAATTCACTGCTCTTGCTCAAATATCTTTAAGTTTTTCTTTATGAGAATGTGCTGAATGTTGTGTCTTTTAATTTAACATTGTCTGCACCATTGGTTCCTGTTGCAACTGACTCATTTTCACTGTGTGTTGAAATTAAGGAGCGTGTTCATCTGCCTATGGTATATTCTTCATTGCAGCTTTGTACTGGAAGCTTTGTCTCTGATGCTTAGATGTCAAGATGGTGCAGTCATATTTCATACTGTAAAGAATTGTCGGTGCTTCTACAAGTGAAAAAGTGGTAGCAATATAGTGACATGAATTACTCTGAACGTTAATTAAATTGGGTTGCAATTGATTACTGACAGTGTAAGTTAAAATTAGTAAACTTTTCTTTGTGTGCGCCTCTCTAAGGTTTCAGTGCAATGAAGTGAACTTGACTTATGAGGCAAGGCTCTTGCCAGGATAACTTAAAAGGCAGGATGAAGAAGTGAAAGCATTTGTTTACTAATATACTTATTCTAGACGGCTGAGATATTAGATTACATGCTTAATGTTTTCCCATTTTAATTTTGACATGAACAATAATATCTGGGAAATAACTGTAAGTTTCCAGTTCAGGGAACACATTTTGATTAGGGACTCAGAATTGCATGAAGGCATAAAAACAGCTATAATCTTTCTTTTCCTCTTGTGATTATTATTATGAATCCAACATCAACTCCTATTTGCATTTTCTTTCCTCCTCATTTGTATATTTTTTCCTGTGAGAAAATCATTTGAAAACAGTGACTTGTTAAATTATCAGGATTAGTTTACCTGAAAATGTCTGATGATAATATCATCTAAACCACATGTTCTGCGTACATCCTGATTACAGGTAAAATCCCTGCTATTTCCTTATGATAATCAACACCAGGTTTATACATCTCATTCAGAACTATCTTATAATAAATCCTCATATGTTCCAAATTCCTTATTGGCTTAGCTAGATATCTGGATGAAGAAAGACAGAGGTAGATGACACGCTGATCATGGACCTGCTACTGGAAAAAAAGCACAGATCATGGGTTAAGGTCCTGAATTGTAAGCAGCTCTAACACCTACCAAATGCTTGCACGCAGAAAGGAAATGGGAAAAGTTGAGATAGGAGAGAAAGGGAAGAGGCGAGCAGATCAGAGTCAGACACAATTCACCTTCCTTGTAGATTTGTCCATCTCCAAAATTGTACAAATAGTGCAGAATATTTATCACTTACTAACTGTTCATTATTTTAATGATTACAACTTAATAGCACCATAAGTCACAAAGGTTGTCTTAGGCAGAAAGGAGAAAATTCTTGACTGCATTGTCAGGGGAAATAGCCATGATCAGCACCTGTGTCCCTCTCTCTCCAGGAGTAAAGTCTTTAAGACATGCATGTTGCATATGAGTAGAAAGGTGTAGTAACTCATAGCTGTAATTCCTGGGTATTAATTCCTCAGTGTCTTTAGCTGTGCCTGGGACTAAATATTACACGTCTTTAGCAGCATCCCTGCAAAAACTCTGTTAGCAGAAACTGAGCTTCAGTTGTCTTATTTGAGGAGAAGTATCCCTTCTAATAACATGACACACCAAATTTTGTGCAAAACTTAATTGACAAGGATATATCAAGACGGATTTTCTTCAAAATGTGAGCACTTCCTGTATATTTCCTAGTAGTTTACAGTAACTAAATGAGCTTCAATTTTTAGACAAAAACTGAGTTGCAGAATTAAAGACTGCTTTCATGAGCGCCCTTTTCAAGAGATCGATAACTATTTAATATTGACATTTGACTTAACAGTGAAAAAGAATACCTAATTTTTGGGACTTGCATGTACTGCCCTTTGAAATAGTAGAGAATGCTTTACCTAAAGGAGTTAAACGTGTCTGAAGCTGAAAATGGCACTTAATCTCAAAACAGGCAGTTCGTCTAAACAAGTCTTGTAAGTCACTGAAAGAGCTGTATTAAGAAACCAGATGAGCATAGCTTAATGTTCATCTGGTTTCTTTTCTTGCTCTGTCCCAAAATTAACAGAGTGAAAACTGCACAGTCAAATTTGATTTAAATGTTCTATGTTTTCTTCCAAAGGCCTGCAATTATTTCCCAAACTCCTATTTTACAAACACTTTCAAGCTATGTAAAAACCGTTCTTCTAATAAACCAAACTTTAAATCATGCCTTCTCTTTACTACACGTTACAAAGACAAAGCTGTGCTACTGCAGGGTACAGAAACACAACGCTTGAATCTGTAGAAACCCACAGCTATGCTATGATAAAGTACTGCTTATAAACATTTATCTAAAAAAAAAAAAAGCATCTGCAGTTTCAAACCACACTGAAGTATTTACCTCAAACTAGAAGTTAGCTGTATCTGATGAAGTAAAATTAAAGTATTATTTCACCAAGGCACTCACTCACATAGTTGCAATCTCTGATTTTTCATTATTCGGTGACAGTCTCTGCAAATCTAGCATAATAGTACAGAAAATAGTTTGCACCCAAGCACAGGAATCATGCTGTATAGTTAAAGAACACAGAAACACACACTGACAATAAGTTATTAAGCAGCATCCCTGTTTAAATGCTGTCAAACATGACTATAGAAAAAGCCACGAACCTAGCAGTGCTACTTCGGCACAGGACCGTACAGCAAGCACTCCCCTGCAATACACACACATGCACACAATGCAAAATTATTCGCTTAGTGTCACTGCACATCGGCTCGATTTCTTTACTCAATTTAGAAACAACAGCAACAAAAACCGTGCGGCTCTGACACTGGTCCTGGACCGGAGGTTGTCTCTTGCACAGCAAAAGCTGCAAGGCTTCGGCTCCTTATTAACCTCGGGAACCAGTGCCTGCTGCAATATCAGAGTCACTTACTGCATTGCTTCTCAGCGGAGCGAAAGTGGCTGCTCTTCCCAGCCACACATGGCTCTGCCAGCTGGAGGGGTTCTCTATTCAGCACGATTCAGCTCCACGGTCTCTGCGTGCGGAGGGTAATTGCCTCTGCTCCGTGCTGGGGTTTTCTGGCTGCAGTGACTGCTCACCCTATCCATTGCCTCTGGTGTATGCTAAGTAAGCAATCCCCTGGGTCTTCATAACGAAAGGATGAAGAGTCACAGCTCTCGAGAGCAGATAAGGTGTTCTGCCGAAAGCCACTGCTTCCAGGGCATTTTAAAGGCAAAGGGGCCGGGGATGCCTTCATCTCGTGCTGTAGTTGGTTATAGTGCAAGTTCTTCTGTTCAGTAACTTGCAGTTGAATTCGCAGCTGAGCGCTATTTTTATGTTTCAGAGAGATATGAATTTCTGTTACGAATTCAAGCTAATGCATTTTTCAATGTTGAGGAACGAACTCTTTCAGCCGAGCTTAATCTTCTGGTTTTCAGAAGTAGAAGTGAAAGGGGGGCAGGGGGTGTCCCAGCTCTGAAATGGAGCTTACCAGCTGTGCTTACAGAAAGGATACGGTCAGAAAGTAGCTCCCTAAAGCTTCATGGATTAACATTTCAGATTTAACACACCCCAAGAACTGTTCTACTCACCCTTGGCAGTTGTCTGTAGGGTGTCTGTTAGGGGGAAAAATGTAGGGACTGGCCCTACAGCGTGCTGATGTGGCAGAAATAACAAACAGTAATAATAAAGAGGCAGAAAGAGGAAGAGCTGCAGCAAGAAATTCCTCATCAGGGATCCTACGGTAATATATTTGGCCATTGGGGAAGCTACAGGAGAATTGCGCTCACTTTCCTCGTATCCAGCTCGAGGGAGGTGTACGGATGGGCAGTTTTGTGAGGCCTCTCTGCTGCCCACTCCAACGCTGACCTTCAGAGGGACTCTCAGGAGAAAAGACCCATTTCGGTGCTGTGCTTGCTTGTTACCCAGGCCTCCTGTGACCTGCTGGTGCTAATTGTGCCTAACCATGTGTGGCGAATCTGTGAAAAGAAACACATAACAGCCCTGAAGGTAAAAATGTGATGTTTTCTCCACCTAGGTGCCCTAATATGTAACACGGCAATCATTAATTAAGATTTCCTAAAATGAGACATTGTGTAAGATGTTGATTTAATCATCCCACTAAGACTCTTGGGCAGGGGAGATTTTGTGTACATAATAAACTTTGTAGGAAGATTAACTGGACCGTTTAGGAAAAGGGCAGGCAAGGACAGGCATCTGGAAAGTGCATGTCACATTTTTTTCCTACAGAAAGTGTTTTATTAGCTGGACTTCATTTTTTTTTTTTTTTTTTTTTTTTTTTTTTTCCTGGAGTTACTGTATTAATGCAACTTTCTACAATACCCCTCAGCATCATTAATGCTGTTGGTATATCATTTTCAGGGCAGTACATTTCTGCTTGTAAAAATGCCAAAGATGCTCAGTCTTTCTAGCCCACAGATGTTGCTGGAAGGGTGGTGGTTTGCACTTTCACAAAAATAGCATCTTGGAGGAGAGGGGAAACCTACACACAGTATATTGGTGTCAGCATCAGTGGGTTCCTACAAAATGGGAAGATAGTCCTATAAAAGAAAAACTGACCTTTTTTTTTTTCTCTTGTGCTCATAGCTGTGTTCAGCACCTCAAATTTGTTGAGTCATAGAAAAGGCACCAACAAAGGTGCCTTGAATGTTAAGTTTATTGTACGTAGTATTTATGTACTGGGTGCTTCTGGTTTAACTCTTAAAATGTAGAGAAGAATCAGTCTGTGTCCCAAGCACTTATGCAGTCAAAATCAGACAAAATTATTCAGACCTCTAACAAACAGGATTGCCAGATGACAGCCTTGTTGCAAGAAGATCAGGAAAACCTGACTGGGTTTGTGAGCTGCAGCATTGGTAGCAGAAATAATTAACTCATCGTCGGGCCTCTCAGCTTTTATAAGACCCTATAGAAAGGCCCTCAATTTCTCCTCTTTATTTCTCTCTCACACTTTTGGAGCATATTCATCCTTCCAATAAGTCCATTTACTTCCCTTGGTTGGGGGATAAGTTATAATGAATTTCTTTGAAGTTGGAGTTGGACAAAAAGAATTGAGTCAGCACAGTAATTAGGAGTGAACCTTTTTAACATTCCAGTAGACACCAGAACTGGCCATGGGTAGATAAGTGGTTATTCTAACAAGCAGAATAATCTCATGCTATGGAGCTGTGGTGAGGGCAGAAGGAAGGATTATAGATTTCAGTGGATCATTTTCATCTGGTTTTCTGGGCTCCTTGCCTCAGCTCAATAACACAGCAAGCTCTGCTGTGCTAACACATCACTTTACTTTCTGTTAGTAGCAGTATTTTAAACCCTGAAAACAAAAAGAATCAAGCAACTGATTTACTGGGGAGAGGCACAAAGGACAGCATTTACCATCTTTAAGAGACATTTTAAATCTAAAAGCACGGTTGCATGCTTTCCCTCCACCCTCCTCCCAGTTAAAAAAAAAAAAAAAAAAAAAAAAAGTTGTAAAATAACTATTATATTTAAGGAACAGACCAATAAATACCCTGGAAGTGCAGGGCTGTCAGTTTGTTGTTGAATAGGAAAGTACCAGCACCTAAGAAGCAGTGTTGCACAAGATGATTTAACTAAAAAGCTTTTCCAAGCCAGCTGGAAAGTATATTATATTTGCAAACTGCAATAAAAGAGAATTGAATTTTAACCTTCCTGCTAGGGAAACATAAAAGGTTTATAATTGACTCTGGCTATACAATGGTGAAGAGAGCCAGAGAGTGCCTGTCTATGAGGAAAGTAAACTAGTTCACGTATGGATTTGTTTATCGTACCCATCACTCTCTCTCTCTCTAAATATATATATCTCATAAATACATCAGGATTTATATAGTAGCAACATAGTTGTGTCAAAAAAAGACTCCATAAGCTTAAAAGAATTTGGGAGCAGACTGGATATCCCTTCATTCAATTCCTCAGCGTGACAGTACAGGGCACGTTTGTTGTGGCTGCATTTAACAGCCCTACCAGTAGTTGGAGATAACTTGTGCTAGGTATTGTAGGGCAGAGAGAAGGTCATGGGCAGCTGAACTGGAGGCCAGTGTTTGCAGGAAGGTAATCTTGTCCCTCCCATTTCAGGTAGGGAATAGAAAAATGGGGAGGAAGAGACAGAAAAGCCTGTTCAAGTCACTTTGAACCTTCAGAGGATGAGGCTCTTCTGTGCCTTCTTCCAAACAGTAAAGCAAAACATCATCCATTTTCCTTTTTTAAGTAAATGATGTATATCCAATTTGAAATCTTCGCTCTCTTCATTATCTTTCAGCTGGCTTGGCAGTCAGCTGCTAACTGTGACCCAGAGAAATGGAGCACTCTACAAAGACTTCCTTACTACACATCATCTTCTGATAGTAACTGGGGGAAAATCAGCCTTGTATTATGTCCCAGAAGAAAAGTGGTTATAAAAAATAGATATTTGCATATTAAGAGTGAGGACATTAATACTTTGATGCGTGAGATCAGATTTGCATACATGCTAATGAAACAGTTATCATAACTAAACCGTGTTTAAAATTGCGGGGTGCACGCCCATGTGTAACTATAATGCTGATAATCAGTTTGCTATTATTCTGAAATTGTTTAAACTGAATAAAGAACACCTTAATTTTCAACAATAGTGTATAACTACAAGCTAAACAGGAATGCAATTTTTAGGAATCTGCTTTAAGTATGCAGCTTTAGTATTTTCAGATGAATTTCTAGAATACATCTCCATAGGAAGACCCTTTAAAAGTGAATGCACATGAGTCGTTGCTGTCACATCTAGAAGGACATTCTCAAGTCTTTCTCAAATTGATTTAATCCTGTTCCATTGGAGATACTACAGCTTGTGGAGATGAGCAAATGGAACCAAATACTCCATCACTGAAGAATCGTATTTGAATTAGGGACATGTTTTCTAATTTCATGGGAAAATTAACTGTAGGGATCATTATCTTAATTAGCTTGTATTTTTTTCTTAAATTAGCAGATTGTGTAGTGTACTATATTCTGTTTCTGCTTTTTTTTTTCTTTTGTTCTCTCAGAGCTGATACTCTTATTGACTTGCTACAAAACATATACATATTTAGTCTACAAATTTTTGTCCAGAACATTTTCTTTGTAAAGCCCTGAGTTCAGCTTTTACTTTACTTTGTCACTCTTCATGAATAATCATCTCTTTCAAGTCAAGAATGAGGGGGAAATCTTCCTGGAAAAATCTAGTTATGTCCCCAGTAAAACTGAGATAGGGATCATAGAACTTGAATTGGGTCTAGCTTAAAATGTTTAAGACCATTTTACAAAAATTGTAGTTCTTGTGACCAAAAATATATTTGGCACTTTGCAGGTGACGAAAAGGCAGCACTAGTCCTAATGAGCCTTTAGTTTGGCAAAGGCATGCATAGAGAGGATATACTACAGAGATGTGGGAAGCTATGGTTTTATATTTCAGCATGGGAGAAAGAAAAGCACAGAGTGTTACTGAGGAAAGAAGATGATGTGAACAGAAAGGTATGCAGACAGCCCTGATTGTCTATGAGATCAGAGAATGTCTTTTCTCCAAACACATTTTGGATTTGGATCTTGCTGTTTGTTTTTTGGGGGCAAGTGGTTGACTTCAAGCTCTGAAGGCTTATGTATTCAGTTTGAAGGTATTTTTGACTTGAGGACCAGAGCTAATCATAGCCTGAATGATAATTTAAGTAGAGTTGTTTGGATTTTGGCAGCATGGGGATGAGAACTTGAGGTGGTCAAGTTCAGCAAGAGATAGGAGCTACTTGGAGGCCTGAAGAAGAACAGAGGAGAGTGGCATTTGAGAATAGTGTTTTAGCTGCATCTTGGATTGGTTGAAGGAAGAAGGGAAGTGATACCTGGAGGCTGCGAATGAACCATAGCCACAGCTATCACATACTGGACACATACCATCACATACTCTTTCCAGCCTGGACAGGTTGTGGGATGACGCTAGAACAAGTGTCCAGTCCCTTACTGGGCTTCTGTTACAGTTATTTATTGCACAGTAGTGGGAGATAATAAAGTTCATTTCCCATGTGAATAGAGTTAATTTTACCTATCAGGTTTCCTTTGGTATGGAAAATTCAAAAGTGTAAGACAATTTATTTTTATGTAGCCAGTTCCCAAAAGCATCCAGGGGAACAAAAATGGCATGATCTTTTCTGAGAAATATTTCCTTCTCTTTCTCCTGTGTCTTTGGGAAAATGTGCAATCTGATGAGCTCCTTATCTGTGCATCGTTACTCTTATTCTCTTTAGAGTTGATGTCACACACTCAACAGTCTGGGTCAAAAGAAGTGCAATAGCAGAGAAAGCAATCTGGCTGCAAATGCAGCCAGAAGAAAGACAAATGCAGTGCTGCTGCGCTCGTGCTGTCCCATTAGCATTCTTCTGACCTAATCTAGAACAGTAGGGATGAGAGAGGATTCAGTTCTGAGGGTTCATAATTTTCTTCAAGGCTGGCTGGCACTGGTAGTGGTGGTTTCATGCAAGCAATTTGTTAAAGAATCTAGTATCAAATGATAAAAAGGAACACCTGCGAGTTATCTTGGTAGCTCAGTCTTTCTCCTCAAAAAGAATTGGATTGCTCCTTTCAATATCTCAGAGCTGAGAGCATTGAGCAGAGAGCTAAGTGAGCACTCGTGTAAGCAAATACATCTTGCTGCTTTGCGGAAACTGATGTTCTCATTTTTTTTAGTGGAAGTGAGACTAAATGGCTGTGGTTCATTTTGTGGTTGCTCTGGGAAGGT